ACATTAAAGAGCTCTCAGACCAGAGAATAAATACTCCGCCGAGTACATCGCACAAGAAACCAACAAAGAAGTACAAAGGCGACTTGGTAAAAAATATTGACAGTTTTTCAACAACAAATGATGCTGGAAATGAAAGAGGAAGCTTTATAACGATGATGGCTGCATTGATGATGGGAGCGTGTGGGTTGACAAATAATCAAATTGATGCCATGTCAAAATTGATATCCATAATATTACTAATGTCCAATGTTCCTAAAAAAGTCGTTAACACTGCTATGAGTTCTTCAACCATGCAAAGAAGATTTATGTTAATTTCCAAAAAAAACAGATATGACCTACAACTAATCTTCAAACAGTGTGACTATTATACACTAATGGCGGATTCAGCAATGTATAGTGGGGTTGAATACTTTTCGCTCTTTGTAAGATTTGTGTTTTCAGATGGACTATTTGAAGAAAAGAGAGTCAAAATAGAAAACTATGACGGCAAAACAGATGCTGCGGGGTGGCTCAGTTGGATAATGAAAATATTGGAATTGATGGATGCTGACCTCATCAAATGCATTGGTGCTTATTTTGATGGAGCTTATGTTCTGATACGAAATGGTTGGCTCTCTGGTAAACTCCTGGCTAAAATAAAAGAGAGAGACGGGCTGAACGGATTTGATTCAAACTACTGCTTTTCACATAGAACAAATAAAGCGACTGAAAAGTGTTTTGAATCGCAATGGGGGCTGGCTATTGAAAGTTTCTTGGACGGGTTAACAGTTCAGGCAACAAGAACAGCGTGGGATCAATTCTGTGCCAAAAATCATATCAAAGGTGCAGTTCTCAAATTGGTTCAACGATCCGAAACAAGGTGGCTCCAAACAGTATTGATTCTTGATAATATGTTTGAAAATTTGCCTTCACTTCAAGAATTTTACAGTGAAAGAGAACAATACCAAAAACCTTTTGGACCTCGCAACATTATGGGTGAGTGTAATGTCAACTGCAAATTTGTTTGTTGCGTGTATGTTCTTCACTCAGATAGTGCTCAGTAAGGTGAAGATAATTAACGATTGGCTACAGACCGCCAATTTACTATACCCCGTGGCCTATCAACGTGTTGAGGATTTGATTTCGAATATCTTCGAGCTCAGACGAAAAGTAGTGTTAACCAATTATTTAGAAAAAATGAAATACACTGAAG